GAAGGGAGGGGAGCCTCTCCCTTCTGGGGACTGGCTGTGTCAGCTCAGCATCCCCAAACCATTCCTTCCGACTGACTTCAGGCCCATGGAAACACACCATGTGCCAGGGAAGGGGCAGGGAAGAGTTAAGAATACATGGTTGAGCAAACCTCCAAGTGCTATTTCAGCTTCATTAGGGAAGGCTGCCTAAGCCCCAGCTTAGGTTGGAAGTCACAAATCTACCCATTCCAGTGTAAACCGAGTGATAGCACCAGGAGTTATGCTTGTCAGCATCTCACCAATCAGGGCAACCAATGCGGCCATAAAAAGCACAATAAGCTTTTGGGGACATAAGCTTCTATTTGTGTTCAGATATAAGCAGTAACACTGCAAAGTTAGGCAACCTGAACACAGCTGCTTTGAGCTTGAACGTGCCCCAGCCCACTACCATCTGCAAAAGCAGCTGGAACCAGGTATGGAGGGACTGGCAGGAGCACCGGTGACAGGCACCTCTTCCTTTAAGGGAGAAACAGATGCTGTGTAAGAACAAGAGGAGGGTGGAGGAGAGAGAACAAAGTTCATAACTGGTTCTAGAACTGGATCTAAAGGGTTATCAGCTACATTTACGTATTTCCCTCCCAGAGCCTCTGGATGTTTATCCTTCAGCAGTTAACAGTTTGCAGAACGGTTCAGTTTCACCTACATGGTTTCCACACCGACATTTGTGCATAAGATAAAGCACATTATGTTCCAGGACCTGCAGGGTTACATTTGGGGATTTTGATGGGGACATGATGGTAACTGAAGAGAGAAAGAGTTTCACTTCTGTTTCAGGGACAGGCTGATAGTTCTGTGCAGGGGTGAGTACATGATGAGTTTGTGAGCTACTGCTGTGGAAACTTCTTTTCAGACATCTTTCAGCATAGCTTTTAATTTTGTCATGACCTTTCTACTCCGATTCTGGGGTGAAGAGGCTGTGACAATCAAGGGAGCATACTGGGCAGGAACATTTTTGCATGGAAGGTTTTATGCAGCATTAAAGAAATTCACACAACAACGGACTAATCCGATAACCTCTTTCATGTTACTTGTTTTGAGCCTATTTTTTTCTTGTTCCAGCCACTGTTTTTTCACAGAGAAAAGATTGTATTTAGCAAAGAACAAAACCTACATAAGCACTCGTAGACAGAAACTAAGTCATGTCCTACTACACAAATGCGAAAATCTTTTCTTGTTCCAGCCACTGTTTTTTCACAAAGATTGTATTTAGCAAAGAAGAAAACCTACATAAGCACTCATAGACAGAAACTAAGTCATGTCCTGCTACACAAACGTGAAAATAATGTTTAAAGCTGTGTTTTCCTTGTGAAACCCTTACAATAGTGACAGCAGTTTTAGTAATATTTGGTTTACTGTCAGATAAAAATCAATCGTGTGTTTGCTACCAAGCTTTAAGAGTCATCTTTCCGTCTCAGGAGAAAATACTAAACTTCCGAAACAACTTGCTGGAGAAAAACACAAGTTTGATGCCTGTTCTTTTTCCTGCTGATGTAGTAGGATTGTTCTCATTTCAGCTCAAATCAGTTTGATCCATGAAAATCAAGAGTAAATCGTGAAAAGTAATTTAAAGCTCCTTTTTAAAATCATTCCAAACTAAATAGTTTAAGCTCTCTTACAACCAGAGGCAATGTTGAAATCTACTAGCTTCAAAACTTAAATTTTAAGTTACATAAATACGACAGCAATTGTGTTGCTGTGCTTCCAACTTTTAAAGCTTTAAGTCAGTTACGCAGAAGATGAGTGGCCAAACAGAAACCACCAAACGGCTACTCACCGACACGTAACAACCGAGAACAGTAAAAGCAACAGCACTGAAGCCTCGGGATCATTAGAGCTCGTGCTGGAATGCACTCTGCTTGGCACAGAGCACTATGGTGAGTAACAAAACGGAGGAATTAGACACGTTCGTGACTGAGTAATCAAGTCATGACAGAAAACTCTGAACTCTATGCGAATAGATTTGGTCTCAGCATAACCCCACTGAGTCAGATGTGCTGTATGCGGAATAGCTATCATGCTTCTAAGATTCCTTAAGTACCGAAACTGAGCATAGCTGTGTTTCTCGCATTGGAAGTAGTTAGTATGATCTGCATTTTTTTTTTCATTTGTTTCTTCTTCCCATTCTCTTTTTGGAAGGAAAATTGTAAAGTTTCTAGAAGAAAGTGAGCAGTAATGAATAGCAAGTGAATTACCTGTCTTTGGTGGTCCAGATCTGCTTTATTACCAACTAGAATCATAGGAAACTCATCGCGATCTTTCACTCTAAGAATTTGTCGCTGAAACTTATAGATTTCTTCAAAACTGTAAAAGAATAAAGTAGAGCATCAGTGTACTAATTCACAGATTCGCAGGTTCTGCAGCAGTTCAGAAATGGTGAGTCACCTATTCGGACCTGCCCTGCCACGCCGCAGAGCAGACAGCTGCCAGCACTCCACCGAACAGACCACTGTCACAGCATGACCAGTTAGAGAATCATTCAACACTCAAACTAAAAAAAAATGTTGTGTTAGCAGTGTGCTATGCATTGGACTGAGGTGGGGCTGAGGGGTAAGCAAAACACTTACTTGTGTCTTGATCTAGAGGGACCCTGGTGATCGATACTTCAGCTGGCAACCTCCACAGCTACTTCTAGGAATTTTGGGGGAAGCTATCAAAGCTGGAAAATTTTATTTCTCGAAGAACTGAAAAACGGCAGGGCTAAATGATCAGAAAGCTTTCCGGTTACCAACTACATTATACCGGGAACTGACGCTGTTCAAGCCATAAGGGATATTCCAGCAGTGTCTAAGGGAAGCCAAGCAAAGCAGAAAGCTTCTCTGAGGACAGTGTATTAAACAAGCCAATAGTGGCCTAAACAATAATTTTTGGAGGGGAAAAAAAAATTACTGCATCAAGTAAACACTGTTATAGCTACACCATTACATAAGGAGCTTTAGCACAGATGCTTGCAGGCAATCCTACATCCTTCAGAGCACAGACTTCTTAAGCACTGCATTTAATTCCAGGAGTATAGGTTGAAGCCATTTACACTTAGATTTGCAAACTAAGATTTAAAAGCAAGATGATAATCAGGAAGAAAGTTGCATTAAAAAAAAAAAAATTACATAGTCAGACATGAGAACACCAATCCACCTCATCAGTACAAAGCAATCATGAGAAGAACGGTGAATTGGAAGGAAGGTATGCCACTGAGCACAGCTGGACCTCCATTCAGATAACGTTGTTTTAAAACTCTGCTCAGAAGTCTGTAGCAACCAGAGGAAGAGTTGAAAGTTAACAACTAAGTAATCTAGATTTCTTCTTGCTTCAGCATTACTTTTCACCACACAAGCAGGACAGACACTGCTAGCAGATTCTTCATTTACAGGCAAGGTAAGTTTTGAATCAAATGGACATCAGAACAAAAATGAAAGCTCTGCTCTCCAGAAGTCTTTGAAGGATTTCAGAGAGAAGAGCAATATGTGGGTTTAATGTGACAAGACCTGCTTAAAATCAAAGCAGATCCTTAGCCAGAAGAACAAACAAAACCTTAAGATTTTTAGACAAACCAAGGAGTTCACATGATAACTTCAAAAAAATCTACAGTCCTCTGTAGAAAAAATATTTACATTAACACAAGTGCTCAGTATGTGTCAAATTCACAGACCCAGATCTCTGACAGAAGTGTCTCTCCTGGACAGTACACCAAGATGAATGCATCTAGGAGCATCCAGCAGCATACTTAAAGTGTAAGATACACATCCAATGGAAACATGCTCATGCTCCACAGAATATTTATCTTCATTCTAATCCTGTTAATAAAATCAGAAGGAACTTAGTAGAGCCTAGATTGAATCTGTAAGGGGAGAGGGAGGGACCGGGGAGGCAGAAATCAATTTTTTTTTTGTCATTTTATTGCTCTTCTGTTGCAACTCAAAACAAGTGGAAGGACAGATCCCTGAGCACTTCTCCTTTGTTACTACATAGATTATAAGCTCAACAGTGGACAGACAAAATATTAAGTGATTATCTGTATGTGTGTGTGTATATATATAGATACATACATACATATATATACATATATATGGCATTTTCCTATTTTCCTGCTCTTACAATGATCAGGAGCTACCTGACTAAGCTCCGTGAGCTTCTAAAAATACACATTTCATCTCAACTCTGTGGTCAATCAGTTACGCAGATGCCAGTTAATTCATGGGAGTAAACAGTGAGCGCTGCCTGCAAAAGGGTGTAGAGACATACCCTGAACTGGATACACCCGTTCAGAAATCCAGAGCCAGCCACTCAATGCTGACAAGCACACAGCAAGGGGATATTTCTAAAAACTGATCAGACATCATAAGCATGTTGCCCTTAAATTTCTGTCACTTCCAAGGAACTAGTATTCTGGACTGCAAAGAAGTGCTTGAATGGAGTTGTCATTTTTAGTGTATACTTCCAAATAGTCTACTGTAAGATACTTTCAATACTTTTCTACTGTAAAATACTTTCAATAAGTAATTGCTTTAAAATGGGTTTTCATCAGTGCTGGAAGAGCACCACACTACAGAATCTAAGAGCAAACGCATACTTCATGTTTCTGTTTGAGACTACTTCAATAAAGGATAAGCAGCAATTTAAGATTAATTACAACTTGTTTTAATAACTTGACATCAGGCTTACCTTCCTCTATCAGTGACTGAGAAAACAAGCAGAAAACCCTCCCCTGTCCTCATGTACTGTTCACGCATGGCTCCAAATTCTTCTTGTCCTGCCGTATCCAGAACTGAACATAAGCAAAACACTGATTACTACAGTTCATATTTCTTGGAGTACAGACTGAGAAAAAAAATCCTGCCTAATAGGATATTGTGAGCACCTCTTCCGTACTTCGTAACTAAGCAGAAATCACTTTTCACAGATACTACTGGATTTTTGCAAAGATTCCCAACAAGTTCTTGTACTGACTGAACAGTTCAAGACCTACCACACAAACTGAATGACAAAGTCTGGTGGACTTCTGCTAATTCACAATCCACTGGAACAGCTGGAAAAGGCCTAGAGACTTGGGGATGGGGGTTGGGAGGGTTGCTGGCTTGTCCTTAACAAAATCACTGGCAAGGGAGAACTGAAACTTTTAAAGCAAAACATTTATATTGTACTTGGGAGAGGCAGCATACAACAGCCAAGCAAGGTGTTTTCCATTCCATGTCACCCAGCTAAATGCTAGGAGTCCATAAATTCTCCTAGTCTTGTAGGCACTAAGGCTTTGGGAATCATTCTTCAAAAAAAATGTCCAATTTACTTTAAAAGAGAGACACCGACACATACCTAAGGCATAAGCACTTCAAATCCTGGGTATCTCATTATTAAAAGAAAGGGTCCAATTTACTTTAAAAGAGAGACACCGACACATACCCAGGATTTGAAGTGCTTATGCCTTAGGTATCTCATTAATGAAAGAAAGGTAGGTAGCTTTTATCAGCCACACACGTAAGAACCACATGGTGCACCGTTGTTTCCCTGCGTTACATCTCGGGCGTGCAGATACAAACACGCTCTCGCCAGGCCACTTACTGTCCAAGCGCGCAGCTCTCTCATCTATCACGCATTGCTTGGTGTAGGAGTCTTCAATCGTTGGATCATAATCCGTAACAAAGTAGGACTGTAGAAAATAAAACAAGTGTGTGTGTGAGACAAGCACATACAGGACACTCATCGAGTAAGACGCAAAACCCGTATGCTCAGCAGCTTAAGGGAGATGAGAAGGTTTCATCCACGTACAACCATTTGCCACTTTATCCAAAAAGACAGCAGGTAACGACCTGCCTATTCCTAGTAAACACTTGTGAACTGTGGGAATTACTAGCAGAGTCACTGAATTTACCGGATTCCCACTGAGTTTCTACCATTTTCTAGATATTTCTGGTAACTCCTAGAATTTCCCAGCAAGAATCCCTAGAAACTTTTAGTTTCTAGTGGCTTTTAAGGTCTCTAGTGGCTTTTCAGGTCTCTAGTGGCTGCTAAGTTTCTCTGAACTTCTGGTAGGGTTTAGAAGTTCGTGGAATTCTCAAAAGCTTCCAGGATTTCTTCCACTGCTCCCAGAGCCAGTAATTTCCAGGAAGCACCAGGATTTTCCCCACTGTTTCTGGAATTCTCTTACAACCATTTCTAGCTACAGCTCCACACAGCACAAGTGACAGTTTGTAAACTGAATAAAGTTTAGCAGATTATCCTTGCTCCCAGGATTTCTCTCCCTATTTTAATGACTTCAAGCGCACATACCCTCCAAAAGACAACTCCTGAAAGCAGAATAAGCCCTGAAATGCCTGGGTCACCCACTGCCTCAGCACGAGGCTCCACCAGACACCGCCAGTCTGTTGCTGAACTGCAGAGGGAAACGCAGTGTGGGACATCTTTCTAGAGAGACCTGTATTGAACACTGGGGTAGCAATGCTATCTGAAGATGACAAGTTTAGATCCCAAAGGATTAATTCTTAGCTTCCATGCAGCCATAGCAAAGTTCTCTTCACCCAAAACTAAAGCACACTGGCATAACACATCTGAACTCTGATCAAATTCCTCCCCCTCTGTGCTCAATGCAGCAGGCACTGGGGACCTGTCCTACCCTGACTGTTCAGAATCACACACTTTGGGCATGTATACACTTGGATGAATGCCACAGTACCTGAAGGAGTGCTACACGCGTATGTTACTTAGTTCTGTAAGCCAGGAAGGAAATAGGAATGCTTTAAAACTACATATTGGCTCCTAGGAAGCAAAAAAAAGGGGAGTGCTGTTCTTGCATTAGGAAGATACCACCAAAAACAGGGTGCATCTCCTTATTCATGTCAAAATTAATAGCTCTCACTGAATTGTCACAGAAATTCAAAGACACCAACAAGACACCACTCTGTTCCTCTAAACTCACCAGAGTCAAGTTCACAGATATCACGGTAGGGAAAACAAAACCAAACAAACCAACCCTGAAATTACAGCACTAGCCCACTAACCTTCTCCAGACACATCGCTGTCAGTGCAGAACACAGTTACCTCTGTCCCTGCAGATACAGTTTATGGATGTGGCTGTATTTGTTCTTGTCCAGTTTCAGTGTGGAGCTGCCCAGGGGGGCTGGCTGCAGGACTCCATCCTGACTGCACCCAGCTGACCCCACCACTCGCACGTGTCTGTGCTGGGTTCTGGTTCACCAGCATGGCCATGGGCTCCCCCAGCAGAGCTCCTCAACTGAGCTGCAGCTGCCTTACTGGGAGGAACACATCATCAGCTGACTATACCATATATAACCTATGCTCACACACCACCTCCTCACCATCACCCAGCTGGCTACAGAAGGAGTACGTACAGGTTGCTGGTGACCTATTCATTCAGATCTGGCACCACACTGAGAAACCACTGATCCCTAGAGCAGAGACACTGACCGGCTCTGCACATCTCCTTTGGATCTTCAGCAGACACCAATAACTGTCCTCTCAGGATACACCCAGTCCCACTCACTCTGCATCAACGGCACCGCTGTGTAACCAGCTACCTCTACGAATCCATAAATTAAACTATCTTGTTCCTCTCTGAGAAGGGTAAAATCCATATCTGTAACTCGCACCTTTCTCACAGTGTTTCATTAAGTCAAGCTGCCCATTTCTGGATAAGAAATGGTTTATCCCTTGTTTTTGAACTTTCACACAGGCTAAGCAACCTCCCCCCTCCAACCCTCTCAAAACTCTACTCACACAGAACAAAAAAACCAACACCCCTCCCAAACAATTCAAACAAACCAGCAGGCATGGGATTCTAAATGGAGCACACAAACTTCAAGCTTTTCAGCAGAAGAGTGCCTACTTACACAGACAGCAGAACATCTCACCACACAAGAAGCCCCCAGAAGATGCTATTCCAACTACAAGTTGTCCCTCTGCCTGGCTTCTCTGAAGATTAAAGAGGAAAAACCACTGCCTTCAAAACTGTACCCATTACTCAGTGTTATCCAGAACCATAAGAACAGACATTTTGAGGAATGAATTTATTTGTAAATACCACATTAGGTCTCAAGTCCTCTGCAGCCTTTAACCATCTTCGAAAGATGGAAGAGAAATTCACTTATGTGAACACACAAATGTGTAAATAAAATAATTTACAGAACCTGAATTTAGAAGGGAAGATCACAAAGAAGGAAATTTAAGTCCTATGTTTCATTAAGGAAACAGAAAGTGGCATTTATAAAAAAAATTAGGTGACTAAAGCATGGTGTTGCTATCCAGTGTATCTAGAAATTCAGGGTTCTGATTTGCAAGACAAAGCACACGCTCTGAAGCTACTCCCCATCCCTCTCCAGCTTCACCATTCATTTCTTTATGCTGTAGAAGTCAAAGTTAATGTCTGGCCCTTTACATCTATAAAGCGGTAAAGTGTAACAAGTTTTAAGTGAAAAGGAGAATTTGGAATCAATTTATTTCACTCTCATGGATCAGTATTGGTAGACCTAAAACAGCAAGTTTATATCCAACAAGAGCAATATTTTTCACTGAGAGAGGTCAGAAAAAGAAAACCATCATAATCTCAGAGGGATTCTTCAGATTTTCCTTATTATCTGTCCAACGGCCAAGAACTGCAGCATGTTCTGTAATCTCCTGTAATCGCATTTCTGCAATTCCTTCCACCCTTTTGGTTTCTTTTTTGTTTGTTTTTTTAAAAAAGGAAACGACACACAAATTGAGAGTGCCAAACAAGGTACTGAGACATGGAACATGGTTCCTCCCTCAAAAAAAGGGAGCAGGGCTAAGTTGCCCCCACCCAGCGTCAGCCACATCGCAAATTCAGAATGAGGAGATGCCAGAGCTCCCCCATTTAACAAGCCTCTTAGGAGGCATTTCTTCCCTCCCATGGAGCTGCGCTGCCAAATCTGCTGTCACTTGCAAGGCAATGAGTGGTGTGGTTTACCTTCAGGCACCGGACAAAACTCCTGTGGCTGAAATAGCTGCTGGTTTCCAAGCAGTCTGCCCAAATTGCACTGGGACCATGTGCCACAGGGAGCGTGCCAACCACCGCTTGCACGCCTTATCCGCTCGGGGCTGGTTTACAAAAATTATATGTAGAGACCCGGTATTTCACAATCTGAGCAGAAATGAACCTTATTGCTGCTGTCCTGACAGCGTTTAAAGAATTAATGGATAGCAGACCACACCCTGAAACACGCCACGGGGCTGTCCCGATATTTCCAAATGCCGCCCGGCACCGGTGGGAAGGTGCCTGCACACCCCGCAAGCCCAAGACCATACACCAGGGTAGGGAGCTTTGTAGACGTCAGGGAGCTTGTGGCAGAACTGCTTCGAAGGCTAACAGGAGCAGGACTACGGCAGATGCAAACCCCTGCCAGCCGAGTGGTTTTAAACCGGCGCTGAGCCCAGACAGATCAGAGGAGCACACACCCCCAGTGTCTGAACACCCCGGCCTGCCTACCGCTGTCTCCTTGACAAAAGCTGTACATGTAAATCCCAACACTTCAGAGCAGCTGCCCTGCTAAGCTACAGAGATATCAGCAAGCGAGGGCAGGGGTCTCGGATGCCAGCTGGGACACAGACACTGGACTGCTCTCCAGCGTGACCCACCACACACCAGGCTGTCAGAGCTGCTCTCCTAGGAGCAGGGCAGCTTCCAGGATGGATCAAAGGAGCCAAGTCTCACTCAGCTGGCTCTGCTGCACTTGGCCACTGCCTGCAGGAAATAATGAGGAGAAACTACATTTCTCCTACGAAGACAGTAACTTGAACATGCTCTTCTGTCACCCCACGCCCTTAATCACGAGCGAAATCAAGGGTCTTTCCACCCACCTCCTAGAAGGGAAACGAGAAGCCAAGCCCAGTGGGCTCATCAACCATTCAATTTACACAATATATTATGCAACAAGTTTTCTAGGTTTCCTCTTTCTAAGACTGCTGAGGCAATCAAGTCCAGAGATGGGAAAGCCTGCCAAGGACGCAAGCGCTTTTGCAGAGGAAACAAAACAAAACAGAAAAACAGCAATAAAAAACCATTCCCACACCACCTACATCACTTGCAATTGGGCAACCCAACACCAAAATCCCTTCCTATGCACATACTTGTCATCTTAAAATGTATCTCAAACAATCACAGGAGTTTCTACTTGCGGTGCTCAGAACGATGACACTACCGTACCCAATTCTGCTCTAGCAGTCCGTCTCCATTTAAGGTAACAGTAATCCCTAAATCATTGTTCAGTCGCTCCAGTCTTTTGGCAAGGAGAATGTGTGAAAACCTGCTTTCAGTTTATCATCTTCCCCCTTTGTTATGCTGCCTTTAATATACATAAGGGAATTCCTCCATTAGCTGCACTCACTCACAAGCTCAGGGGTCCCGCTCCATAAATTAATAAAACCAGCTAAGTAAAGAGGAAAGATGGAGAACCCCAGGGCAGCTTCACAGCTCTTACGCAGCTTTTCCTATTTACTCTTCGGAAGGTCATCCACAGTCCACAAGCTGAAAAGCCACTGGATTACTTTATTTCACACCAACATTTCAGTTTTAAGGCACAAGAGAAGTCAGAGGCTATCAACAGGGAGCTGCTGCAAGCTGCAGCCCAGAGGCTGGTCACGTAACGTGCCTCCTTTTGTCCTCACACCAAGCTTGAAGGACACGCCACGAAAGGCCACCCAGCACAGTGAAAGCACGTCACTATGAGCAAG